AGAGTCAGCAGAAATTTGACTAACTCTTCAATGTTTGAATTATAACTTGCCTACAGTCCGTCATTGTTATTTGTGTCTTTCGATAATAAAATGCTTAACAAACTTGAAATCAACTGATAAATAAATATAACAATTTTATTGCAGAAAGCAATTTATGATTGGTGATGAATTTGCCATTCGGTAAATTCAAAAGCACGTTTTATTCGTCTGAGTTATTGTTATGTTCTTCTGTTACTCAAAGACAGGTCAAAAATAATTATCAAATATAAGTCATAAATAATATTACTGGAGTTTTATGCCAACACCAAACCGTTATATTCAACACTTCTACACTTGTTTCGATCACCAAGTGATCATTTTCAAGATGTAGATTAAACAGTTCAATCTTCCTCGTGAAGATGATCACTTGGTGATCGAAATACGTGTCGAGGTGTTAAAAATAACGTTTTGGTGTTGGTATGAAACGCTAGTAATATTCATTACTACACCAAAGATTCCAAACAGTGCATCACAAGTAAAATATAAGTCATATTAAGACTCACATTTGTGTTTGCTGGGAAGCGCTTTTGTTTCAGAAATACCAACTATAGTCTTCTGACGTTACTGCAGGATAGTGCCAGTCATACATATAACAAAAGTATAACAGCACAATAGTTTGGTGCGGTTTTCCCTAATTTGTTGCCATTCATATTTTTTCGACAAAGCTTGGTTAAAATGATTATATAAAAAAAAACAAACAAAATTACACATATTAGCTATCGCTACTTAGTCATGTAAAACTGTAAACTATAAAAGAATATACAATTTCAAATAGATACTTAATAAATGTATATGTAACAAAATAGGACAGAAAAGATAACAGAAACAATTTGTATTTATTTAGCACAATACAACACTTTAGGAAAATAGCCAATGATAATGTATCTCAAAATTTTTTTATATTGATCACATGAACTGTCAGTCAAAAGTCAATCAATCATGCTTTTTTGTAGTTGCTGACTACAAAAGCCACAAAAGGCAAATCCATATCTCAAGTGCGACTCTATCAAGGAAAAATACACAGTTCTGGATGAGGATTGATCGAGTTCGTTAGAAACAACTCGATTTTGTATAAATTTGTTATGTGCTCATCAAATTTCAATTTATCATCTATAAATAACCCTAAAACTTTTGTTTGAGTTTTGTTAACTATAAGTTCTATAAGTAAGTCGTCAAAATTGAGTTTGAAGCAAACTATATAGATCCAGAGTTATGATGTCTCTGAGATTATCTTCATTTGTCCCACGCCAAAGGATCGTGGTGTCATCCGCAAAAAGTTTGAACTTCTCTTTGATGTCAATGGTTACCAGATCATTCAGATAAAGCAGAAAAAGGATAGGACTCAGAATCAAACCTTGTGGTACACCTGATGCGATGTATTTCCTTGGAGTTTTACTAACTGCTTTCTGCCTGTTAGATAACTGTAAAACCAGTTATATGACAATCCTGTGAAGCCATAGCACTGAAGTTTAAATGATAGTGTTTCATGGTTCACGCAGTCGAACGCTTTTGAGAAATCATAGAATACTGTCCTAATAGATTCGTTATTATTTACACCAATGTATACATTTTCCATAAAAGAGAAGATTGCATCGCCTGTATTTTTATGGCTTTGGAATATATATTGAGATTCGTGATAACTTAACATCAGTGATTTATTTATTGTAATTGGTCCATATATAAAAATGTCAAACATTCACGTCAAATATCAGTTGGAACAAAATACTATATCGGTTTACTATATTTAACGTTTGTGAAACTATATATCATTATTGGGATGTTTCAAAAGTTTTCTCTGTTTTTTGGGACTACTTTGAACTATAATATATCAAAAGTTGATTGATTTCATCAGCATAAAAATTGTGTGCTCAAGGCTCGATGAAGTCGACGAAAGCCGTTCTTGCCTGGCCCTGATTGGCGGAGATTCTACAGGTAAGAAAGTTATCGAAGTGCTTGAAAAGTTAGTAGTCGGTTGGCGAGAGGTCTGAGGAGTATGGTGGGTGAGGCACTTTCCACTATTCCCACACTAGAATCCACGATGCCGGAAATTACTTTTTCCAAATGAAGAAATACATGTAAAGTGAGTTCGAATTTTGTCAAGGAAGTTACGTACAGGGCCATCTGCCCTCGAATAGATCAAGCAATAATGTCAATATATCAAGGTTACGTACAGCGACATCTGCCAGCGAATAGATCAAGCAATAATGTCAATATATCAAGGAGGTACGTACAGCGACATCTGCCCGCGAATAGATCAAATGATAATGTCGATAATAATGTCAAATACAGATCCCGATATTAAATGAAAAGGAGAGTTACAAATAAACATACATACAGGTGAAGCTAATATAAAGCGTGTAAAAAGGGGTTTTTACTTCTTGTTGGAAGATTGCTCAAGTTCAGCCTATTCCCAAAAAGGGCAAAAAAATATTACAATTAACTATACAACAGTCGCTTTGTTATCAGTGATATAACAAATCATGGAGAAAGTCGTAAACCATCATATCCTCAAATATTTGGAAGACTTCAACACCTTGAGCGATCATCAATAAAGCTTTCGGAAACAAAGATCAACAGGCGGCCTTCTATCGTATGTCACCCATATTTGCAATAACGCAATCGGGAAACATGGATAATCAAGAGCTGTTGCGCTTGATATTTCTAAGGCCTTTGACCGTGTGTGGATGGTTTGCTGGCCTAACTTCGATGTTATGGCTTGTCAGATCATTTTTGTGTATGGCTCTTCAGCTTTCTGAGAGAACGTTCTTTGCAAGTGGCTGCCGATGGATATCTTCGAATATCTGGTGTTCCCAGGGATCCACATTGTCTCTAAGCCATTTTTTATTGTATATCACTGACTTATTGAAAAAAACCAAAAATCCAATATTCTGCTCTGCACACTTGTCTCGTAATTCCTTTGCAAACGAAGGCACATTTTCACCGGTAGCAGGAGGTTGCAAATTTTAATGAGGATCTACAGGTGATTTCGAATTGGAGTGAAAGTAACCAGGTTCAATTCACCACAAAAACCCAGACATCGGTTTTCTTCAGAAAGATAAATGTCTCCGAATCTGATATAATAATGGCAGGTCAGACAATTCCGCTTTCTGCTTCGATAAGTTTGTTGGGGGCTGCTGAAATAGACATCAATAAATCATAACACAATCATGTCGCTGAAATTGCAAAGGCTGCTTCTCAAAAGCTTGAAACACTGTTCCAAATCAGAAATCTGTACACACCTCAGCAACTTTTGATTATAAAGCTCAGATCAGACCTTCTTTGGAGTATTTTCCTCATGTATGGGGCTCTACCCCCAAACATACCCATAACATAAGTTGCTGGATTCCATCCAGAAAAGATCCATCCGCCTGATCGGAGACGCGAACTTCATGTGCAACCTTGATAACATGATAGCCTGGAACATCAGAGAAAGGTTGGATATTTGTCTCTTTTCTATAGATACTTTCACGAAAAGTGTTCAAATGACTTGACATATTTGATTCCACCAAAAGCGGTACGTATCAGAAATACGCGACGGACTGTTACTGCTCATCGTTTTGAGGTTCAACTCAGTACACCTCGAACTTCACTGTCATTTGGAGAACTTCGTGTATGTGGAATAAACTTCCTGAGAACGTTTTTTCGAACACACACAGGCACCGATCTGAGAGCGTCTTAAGCATGTTCCTGTAGTGCTTGTGTTTTGTCCTTGAAAAAAACCACACACCAGCTGCTGACCACCATACAGTAACCATGGTTATCCATGGTTATCCATGGTCATCGTTGTCCAACCACTGCCCTGAACGTCTCCTGTTGTCGTATAGCATCCACTTTTCATCACACGCGACGATACAATCCAAAAAAGGATCATTTTGGTCGCGCAAAAGCAAAGAAAGACAGACCTCGAAGCGTGACAATTTCGAGACACCCACATTTTGTACATTTTGAAGTAAAAATTAAATCATCAAAAACCACATGGGAGCTGACACCGAGATCTTCCGTCATTTCACGCACCGTTTGTGATGGTTCAGTCTCCACGAGGGTCCTCTGATCCTCGTCCTGGATTACTGTAGGTCGACCACTTCTGGTCTTATCTTCGAAGCTAACATCTCCAGAACGAATTTTCGCAAACCAACGTCGTTGCGTTCATTTACACTAACATTGCCAAATGTCCGGGTAGTTTTTCGGGCTGTTTCGGCAACGCTTTGGTTCAATTTCAATACGTAGACAAAAATTGGCCGAAAATCGCTCAACGTCAACGAAAGAAGCAAAAAATTGAAATTTGAAAAAAAATGAACAGCATCAAAATTTTCTATCGATCGATATATACCACGGCGGCACAGTAGAAACAAATGACATTATAACGAACAAAACTGGTAAAATACAAAAGCTGAAGTCCACGCGATGGAAGTCGCGGGTAGAGGCTGTACGAAATATATTTAAATGTTTGGCTGATCATTCATTAATATTTGTGATGCACTGTTTGAAACCTTTGGTGTAGTAATGAATATTTTCCCAACACCAAACCGTTATTTTAACACTTCGACACGTGTTTCGATCACCAAGTGATCATCTTCAATGGAAGATCAAAACTGTTTCGATCGAAACACGTGCGAAGTGTTAAAATAACGGTTTGTTGTTGGGAAAAAACTCCAGTAATATTCAGGAACAGTTTATTTCCATGGTTCAACTGTAGAAATCGATTATTCATTGTAATTTTTGTGAAAGTTTATAAAAAGCCTTCATTAATCGAAATACACTTGTATGAAATTTTCAGAAAAAAATCAAGGAATATACTTTGCATTACTATAGTTTGTGCCATATTTGGTTGTAGTATCTATTTACCAACATCATCTCTTTCAAAGACTCCTGGGGCTTTTCAACTAATACCTCCATGCTTTCCTCTTCTAACAGTTAATGTTGATATCGAAAGAATAATTCACAAGGAGATAACTACAATATCTATTTGAATATAATCGACTTTAGAGTATCGAACTGATACTGTAAATTACTATTTTTATTCGATCCCTAAATACATTTTTCTATAGTAAATGAAGTTTTCAAACTCTACTTTCATTTCTTTTCATGAGACGTTGTTGTAGGACTTCTGAGAATTTGATAATTCTACCAAATGGATGAAGGTGATACAAAAGATATTCCATGACGTACATTGCATTCGGTGTCAGGTGCTGAAATGAAACGGCATTGTCGAAGCAGCAGCCCAAACCCTGAAAAACGAATGTATTAACTCACAGGATTTGATCTATAGTCAGCAGATGTGTTTGTCGACAATAGAGACATACAAGTACACATATTGACATGGTAATAAATATTAGACACATATTGATGATATTTTCAAATGGAAACTTCGAAACAGGTATTTACTTCTCCTTTTCTGTCTTCTTTTCGTCTTCTAATAAAAATGTTCATAAATAGTCTCATTTTCTCACTGCTTTCGACTAATTCATATTTTTATAATTTTTTCGAAAAATTACCTTGTGATTGTTACGAACAAAATATTCTAAACATCTCAAGGACATTTTCAGTATTGTTTTCTAATTTTTTATTGTCTTTATTATCCCAAGAAACATGAGATGTTTATGATTAGGTATTAACGGAATTAACTAAAGGTATAAATTTAACAAAATGATGAAATATCAGGAGTAGGTAGGTAGGTATCAAAATTGCTGATCTTGAAATTCATATTTTTAGTGAATGATATTTTTATTTGTAAATATTCAAGTAGGTTTGCATTAAAAATATTGGTTCAATGAGAATACCCTACTTTCGATGAAAACTGAAGGAAAATGCATGATACAATTTGAGAAAAATATTTACAATGAATGCACGAAATGTCTTCCTCGGGTTTTGATGCAAAACCTGCAGTGTAGAATAATATATCTTTGAAGATTTCTAAATGTTGACAGAATTTTTGCACTACATGATAAAATAATTCACATGATTGCTGTTTATTATTATACTCTTGTTAATAGAAACGCTCTTACATGAGCCTAGCTCATGGTTCAGATTCCGTGACCGATATAGTCGAAATATTTTTACATCTTTTCCTATCCATCTTCTTTTATAGGTATTTGTTAAAAATTGCCGTGTTAATAATAATAATCTTTATTAATCCCAAGAAACAAGAACGTTCATAACAGGAATACACTTTAAATAATGAATATGAATACATTCATACATACAAATATAGGTATAATAATTATAATAATAATTGAAAACGAAAAAAATATAATATAATGGAGATCAGAATTTCAATTAGAGGAAGAAAACAGAAACTTTTTCAATTCCGATTCGAATTTTGTTTTCTGATTTAATTTTAGTTTCTCTGGAAGATTATTATATATTTTAACTCCTGAATGAATTATTGATTTCTTCCAAATTTTGAGCGATATGATTTAACTAGTAGTTTTTTGGCTTGTCTTGTATCACAATCATGGATGGTATTTATTAGATTGAAATCCAAATTCGAATATTTCTGTTTTTTTTTTAAGAATGAATGAAACAAAAAATTTTCAATTGAAAAATGGACTGAATATCTAAAAGATCACGTGGTATATATGAATTCCACGTTGGTTCAAGATATGATGATTTAAATATACATTTTTATTATTTTATTTTGCAGCCTCTTGAGAGGAATTATCTAATATATAAAAATGGATGTTTGTTGGTTGGTAAGTGATAAACTTCTACATCGCTCAACCGATCGTGATGAAACTTGACATGTATGAGTAATTTTTCATAGAGAAGGTTTTCAGGCTATCAATTTTTCTGTAACGTGCCACCAGATGGCGCTGTAGAACAATTTTTTGACAGCACTGTTCTATAACGCTGCGCACGCCTAAGTTCGTTGATTCTGATTCTGTCAAAACATTGGAACAGCAGCGATACATCAACATTGTACTAATTATTACTACAACTACCAAAGTCGAAGCGGGCGAAACCGCGGGCAACAACTAGTTATTGATAAATTAGCTGTTTCCCAAATTGAAATAAAATATTGTAGATTTGAATATACCAATCAAAATTACATTTGAGATATTTCAACGAAATGAAATTTATAACCCTAAATAATATTCCTAAAATTGGTCCGATTTTGTTTTCAAACTAACTACTTGTTAGTTTTTTACCGTATTTGCATTCATGCACTCTTTTTAGCGAATACTTGTCAAAAGAAATGGGATCCTTTTGGCGAGTAATTGTCATAACTTGGCATTTTTTAGGTTAAAATCTAACTTACTCCGAACACTCCAAACCAACAAACTATTCGAAAAATCTCACCTGTTTGAAAATTTTCACATCATCGGCAAAAAGCAGACATTTGGAGTGCTCAATATAATCTGGCAAGTCATTAATAAATAACAAAAAGAACAAGGGCCCCAAGGTTGCACCTTGGGGTACTCCTGAAGAAACATGGAATTTGCCGGAGGTATTTCCATCATGTTTAACCACAAAATATCCATCCTGAAGATAGCTTTTAAAAAAATTAATGATATTGTCGGAGAGTCCAAATCGATATAACTTTCACAGCAAAACACCATGGTCCATCCACCCTGTCGAAGGCTTCGCTAAAATCCATGAATATTGTGTCCACTTGAACCTTATTTTCTAAGGAATTATTTGCTTCGTTGGTATATGATAGCAAATTTGTGTTGACAGATCTGTTGGACATAAACCCATGCTGTTGCTCAAGTAAAGCACCTTCTACATAGCCGTACAATTTAGTGAGGATCATCTATTCAAATAGTTTGGAAGGAGCACACATAATAGATATCGGTCTATAATGTTTTATATCACTTTTTTTTTTCTGTTTTATGAACTGGTGTGCTAATTGAAGTTTTCCGTTGCGTCGGAAAATTAGCATTGTTGATTATGATATTAAATATGTAAAGTAGTGGGTGACGTAACCATTCATGGCTACCCTTCACTATATACGACGGTATACCATCTACACCTGGATTTTTTTGGATTAAATTCATTAACTGCATCATCAAAATCTGTATTAGTTATAGATGTTATTGAGAAGGTATCGTTAGTTACGTCCTGAAAACTTTTAAAAGTTGTTTTATAATTGCTCCCGTTGGTAGTGTACACACTGCCAAAGAACCCTGGGAAATACTGTGATGTATCTCTTGGTGGAATTTCCATGTCATTGTATATGAAATTATCATTGGTTGTGCTTTGACCGCTCTTGGTACCGCTCTTGGTGAAAACAATTGTGCCAAGTCACTTGAACACTTCCCATGGAAGTACGTATAGAAGTCAAATCTCCAACCTTTCTTCGATGTCCCAGACTATCAAGCTTGTAAGTGATGTTCGCGTCTCCAATCAGGCGGATTACTCTTTTCTGAATGGAATCCAGCAGCTTCGGGGTGTGTTTGGAGGCGGAGCTCCATACATGAGAACAATACTCCAAAGAAGGTCTGAGCTGATCTTTATTGAAAAAATCTTTTTAAAAATCTTTTTTCCGCCCCCATACGAACGACAACTCTCAGAAGTTGAGAAACTTGTGCGAGCTAAGGACTAACGAGGTCTTACCCTTCAACGTGTGATTCCTAACACGTTTGCAGAATCATCCCAGCTTCAACCAGATAAATTCTCTCGATCCTTCCGATCGTGAGTCGGGCGCACTACCACCGCGGCCAATAAAGCATCAGAAGTTGCTGAGGCGAATACAGTTTTCTGGTTCGGTACACTGTTCCAAGCCTTTGAGAAGCAGCCTTTGCAATTCCAGCGACATAATTGTGCCAATACATGTTGGTGTCTATTTCAACCTCCAAGCGACAGCATATGTTGTACATGTCGACAATATGCACATGCCTGGCACTTGTTATCTGGCACCTTTATAGAAATCACGCGTCTAATGAGGTAGACTGAAATGATGAAAACACTATCCAAATAAAAGGTGAAACTGGAACATCTAATGTGGAATGAACTGACTAGTGTTCTTCATCTTAAAACGCCATCCTGCTTGTTGGAACGATGATANAACTCGCGTCGAAAAGAGTATTGGAATTCTGGAGTTTGGAAAAAGTGCTTGTTTTGAAACTATCCTAGTTGGTCATGACGAACCCCTCGTCGACTTCAGCCCACTCGACCTAAGGAAATTGAAGATCAGATGCTTTTCTTAGAAGAACTCGGTAACAGAGTTGTGATAACCTCGTTCAGTTTCGAAAAAAAAAAGTTCATCATCCGCTCGGATAGCTGTCTTGAAGCTGTCTCTTGGCTACGGACCATACAGAGAAGATGATCCGAACTCCTGATGACTTGAAAGGCATATGAAGTCTTAACGTCGGATTGATATATTTCCTCTAGAATTCACTTCGAAAGAAAAATTGAGATCAAAACCTTCAGCACATTTGTCGCAGCAACTTTGTTCTTTCTTGACAGTTTTGATAACCATATCTGTCAGAGTTTGTGTCGATACTTGCCGCGAAGAAAGATTTTTACTGCAGTAACTTCTTGAGAGAGGCGTGAGTATACGTCTCTACGGCTTCCAGATACTGCAAAATGTTTTCGTCTACAAGCTGAACATTACTGCACATACTCTCAGTAATCTTCGCATCATCCTCTTTTGAAATGGACCGTTGCATGTTCGTCCATTCCCAATTCTATAAGGATACCATGCGTGTACTTTTCCATTACCCTTGAGGGCTGATGGAGACCTTTTTCTCCGGAGGCTCGAAGTTTGGTGCATCCATATAAAACAAATGGGTGACCTTTTGATTTTGATTTTTGGATGTTATGGTGAAACGAGCCCGCCAGAGTGGAATCAGTTGTTCAAGGTATCTCAGTATTTTATTGGGTATCGCGAAGAATCAAGGCTTGGATAATCAATCCAGGTCATAGAGGATACGATTGTAATGTATCTCGTCCTGCATTTTGTGATGAAGTTTGAGGTCGTCCATATAAAACAAATGGGTGACCTCAAGACTCCGGTTTCCAGGGGTGCCACAGTTGTATCCTAGAGATTTTCTGAGCTCAACGGATAATGGTAATAGTGAGACGCAAAAAAGAGGGGCCGAGGGAATATTCTTGGAATACACCCTTGGAATACACACAGTGATCAATTCTGTTTGGACCCTAGCCTGTTACGTTGAAGAGTTTGGTATTATTTTTTCCAGGCAAATTATTATTTTGTTGTTTCCGCAAGGCATTTGGGCATGATAACCTCATGCATTATTGTTTTCAATGCTTAACGGCAATCAATCCAGACCATAAAGATCATGTATTGAGTTCTTCGTTTCACATCTATCGATGAGCAGGTTCTCCTTACAACTAGGAACTCTGAATACTCGGTCTGCTGCAGAAAGTATTCGTGTGTATGAACTGCTAATGAACGAAGTCAATTCAAGTTCACGCATGTTATCGATATGTAGTTTTTGGGAACGTACAAATCTTTGTTTTTGGAAAGACCATATTCCTCCCTTCCGATCCGGAAAACGATTGGATGGTGGTGTTAATTTGATCTATTTCAGCCTCTGCTGTAAAACCATCACGAATCTCTGCATCCAAACGAACCACTTCTTGTTTTTATTATTATAACGATGAAAGACAAGTTTTCAATAAAAATTTGTACCGGAGTTATTGAATAAGACCCAACCAGATCATTAAATTGGAAAAGAAAGACAGTATTCCAACAAAAATCCTGATTTTTTTCCCGTCAGAGATTTTGTTTAAAAAAAAATTAAGGTGAAATTATATTTATTCAAAGTAGGCATAACCGAAAATTGAATTATCGTGTATAGAATATTGTAGTAATTGAAAAAAGTTTTATATCAGATTTTTTAGACCAACTGATGGAGATAAGTCGCGTGAGAAAAGAGAAAAAGAACTTCAATCTTGCTATATAGATACAAAGCAGTCGAGGAGATTCAGTTACAAATAATCATGAGTTGGAAGCGCAAGCCTTATGGTTGTGTAGACCAGGCTTTACACTTTGAATGAAAAAACAAGGCAATTGGCATAAAAAATTTGTTTGTGAAAAGTAAAACAAAATATATATCGCAATCGCACGTTATAAAGAGAAAACTGGAAGGCTTTTTCCCCACAATTATACCAAAATCAGTGTTTGAGAGTGTTTTCAAAATATCAACGAAGAGTAATAATTACTTGGTTCCAACGCGTTGAATCGTGCTCGATTATTCATCTGATTCTCGGTCAACAAGTAATGAAAAGAAGATCTCATCTTGTTTTCCTTTCTTTTCCATACCTTTTATCACCTACATCACCAGAGCGAGAGAGAAAGACGAAAGGAGAGAACGCTTGATGCCGACAGATAAAAACGGGTGAGTTTTTATATACAGTTCACATCGCATCTTAATAATAATTTATTTACGCGATTATTATCAATCGCATAAACATGAGTTGTGATTCGTCTCTTGAATAATGTGACTTGTTAGAACAATAGTATTTTTTCTGAAGAGTTTTTCAGCGATAAAAAACTATTAAAAAATCAACTGGAAAAGAGGTTTTCCATTGTGTGTTTGTCATAAGTTCAAGATACTCTAATTTCTAATCATCAAGTTATCATCAGAATCAACAACAAAGATAAAATTCAACGCTTTCTAGGTAGATTTATGGAAGTGTCATATTCCAATGTGGAAGAAAAAGCTCACCCTTTGATTGGAATCCTTCGAATCACCAGCTTCAACATTAACTGCTTCCAGGCATATTTCCATTTCTACATATTCAACTCCACTTTCGGGTGGGTTACAAATTTCTCTGTTTGGAATTGCCTCCTAAAATGAATAAAATCATGAACTGATTTTGAATACAGAAAAAATCAATGAATTCGCGTACATTCTGAAAGGTAAGATGATTGTCAATTATGTATTTTCAACATTTGTGAGCAATACTATTTTTTTTATCTGAGTTTCTGCTGGTCAGGCCTTATTCCTCGAAGCCTCAGCATTATCAACCATTAGCTCATTAGCTTGTATGAGCCTGAGGGTGGAGAACGAATAGTTCCAATAAATTCAGAACTTCTCGTTGCTTACAACGGATCGAATATCACTCGGAGCGTAGGGCAATTCCGGTGTCTCGTCAATACTATAAGAGTGCCGTAGGTGGTAATGAAGCACTCTTAGGGCCGCGTTATGTCTATGGATATAGGCCGACACTGCATAAGCTGGACATAGTGACAGCAAGTGCATTAGGGTCTCGGTCGCCTCGCGGCAGGTCCTGCCCGTTACGTCAGGAACATCTATACCCATCACGCGAATACGGTAGACTGAAGTGTTGAAGACACTATCGTAGCAAGCCGTGATGAATTCCTCAGATTCCGACTTCAGCCCAGCAAAAGTCAGGCGTTTAATAAGCTAAAGTATTCAATGTTGTTGTTGTTGTTGTTGTTGACTCCAAGCATTGGACTATCTTTCTGTTGCCGCAGAAGTGAAGTGATCTCTGTGGCTTTTATATGAGCCTTTTGCTGAACGGGTTCCAAGTCGGTGACATAGTTGTGATTACCTCATTGAGTGTGAAAAACTAAAACAACTTCCCCAGCTGCTCAGGCAGTTGCCCTAAAGAGAAATGATCCATTTCCTACTCTGTTATGGTTCGGACCGTGCAGAGAAGGGGATCCGAAATCCTGAGGACTTCACAGGCTACATCCAGTATACCATTCTTTCATGCAGACACTCCAAAGTCAAAGTTTACGGCCTCCCTGTTTCCGGGGCATGTACAACAGTGAAACGGACGATTTGGGATGCAAACTCCCATGAAGGTGCATCATTCTTTCGGTCTTTAAGTCGAGCTGATACAGCTCCTTTTGAGTCCACTTCAGGTCTCCAAATGAGTAGGGTAAGATTAGAATAGCAAGTATCTTTGTTGCAACAACTTTGTTCGACCCCGACAGTTCAGAATGACCCGATATGTCGGAATTCGTGCTGATACTTGCGGAGAGAGTTCTTCACAGTTGTTACCTCTTTTGACTAGCGCTGTTCCATCTCCACGTTACTATACGTCTCTTCGACATTCAGATGGTGCAGGATGCTTTTTCATCTACGATCTTCACATCCTTTCCGTAGTCCCCGCATCATCCTCTTTTCAGGTGGACCGTTGCACATTTGTCTATTCCAAATTTCATACCGATAACGTGCTTGTACCACCATCCTCATACTAATAATAATCATTATTTTTATTATTATTACTCACCTCAACGAATCTCCTCAAAGCTTCTTTACTGAGAACATATCCTTTTCCCTGACTCATGTACACCTGTTTGACGAATGGACTGAATTTAAAGCCAAAGTAAATTGGTGTTTGGGGACTGATGTCTGAAACCATGTACCTCAGATTTTCCATAATTACGTATCTGTGAATAACGACGTATAATGTTATTCGAAGGTGGTTGACAGTATTTCATGATGAATTTCATTTGTTTGGACTTCCATTGTCTTCTTCTATTGTTCTACTTTTACTTGTATTTTATTTCACTATTATTTCATTTCAGGTTAGGTTTCCTAACACAATTATTATTTTCAGTTATTCATTTTTAATTTTTCAATCAGTTCTCATAGGGATTTCAAATCATTTTATATAATATCAGACAATGGAAGTCAGAACTAATGAAGTTCATGAATAATGATCTTGTTTCAGTGAATATCTCTGAATGTGATTATTAGAGATGTCACACAAATGAAAAAAAAAAACAAAAAATGGAAATTACATACTTTGATTCGATTCGCATTATATTGGATTATATTGAATTCTTTCTTCCAAAATGAAATTGGCGAAAAGAATTCTCTCTAAGTATGTTTGAAGGTGATTGACAATGTTTCATGATGAATTTCACTAGTTCGGACTTTCATTATCTACTATATAAAATGATATCAAATCCCTGAAACAACTAAAAAAGAAGAACTAAAAATGAATAGCTGAAAATAACAATTATATTAAGCAAAATATACCTGAAATGAAATAATAGTGAAATAAAATTCAGTAAAATAGAATAATTGAACAAAAATAAATAAAAATGAAAAAAGGAAATAAAAAAAAGTTGAGAGATTCCAAGTCACGTTAGTTCACGACGTTTCGATTGTTAGTATCTACAATCGTCTTCGGGTGATATTCATTTTTAATTCTTCTATTTTAGGTGTTTCAGGGATTTCAAATCATTTTATATAGTAGACAATCGAAGTCCGAACTAGTGAAATTCTCTCTAAGTACTTCCGATTTTTCACTATGTTTTGATAATATGATTTACATGCTCATCTATGTAAGATTATTGTGAAAAAATACTCCTAGGTATTTGGTTGCAAAAGCTACATTTAGTTTATTTCTGTTTCTCTGGTCCCTTACAAAAGGCTACCTTGAGGTATTCCAAAGGATTTTTCTCCAAACCCAAAATAGAATCATTATCAATCCTAACTTTTTATTATCTTCCGTATCGAGAATATGAAAACTAACATTAAGCTGCATCAGTTTTTCCAAGAAAATGTTTTCGTAATCAGCAATATGGGATTCATCAAATGAAATGCTTTGCTCTGATTCAGTCTACTAATCCATAAGTTTTCACATATTTTAGTAATTTATATTAAAAGATTCTCTCTAATGGAAAGATTTAAAGGCAAGTCGAATGTTAACATCAAATTCCCTCTAGATGAATTAAATATGAGCAATAATGCAGCAGACAATGTGACTCCTTGTAGTTATAATCTACATGCAGTTTCGATTCTCAGTGGGTCTACTTACAGCAGACATTACACAGAATACTGTATACATCCCTACATTGGCACGTGTCACCGATTTTACCAAAATCGACTGTTTTATAAATTTCATCGTTGAAGATATAATACAATGCATTAATCAACAAAAAAAAAGAAATGAAATGTGCAATATAATTCATTCAAGGTTTGGGCCATATGGATCGCTGCTTCCGAAATCAATATCAATACTATATTTTTGCCTAAATTTTACTTTCATTTCATCCAAATATTTAATAACTTGTGCTGACAGATTTGTATAAAAAAAAATTGGGAATATTTTTCACTATATCAATTCAGTGTAAAAGTACTGAAGTAACAACTTGAACAGCTGATTTGATATTTTTCAAATGACGTGAATTTCTCCGTTTGACATTCCAGAAAAGCGAAAACATTCAATCCATTATCTTTCAAATAACTAATCACTTCTGTATCTTCACTGGAATGACGAATTCAAAAAATAATTAGTGATTTCACTTTCAGCTGTTCTTCAGTACAAATACCCCATTTGGGTTGGTAGCTAAATTTGCGTCCCACTTTACAGTCGATTTTCTGGGAAAGGCACCACCCACCATTCCTACACTGGAATCCACAATGCCGGAAATTACTTTTCGACAGCGTCTAGTAAGGCGAATTTTAAAACAGCTCAATATCAACAAGGCGTCTGGTTCTGATAAAGTGCCCGTCATCGTACTTAAAAAGTGCGCAAATAAACTCGCACCAGTATTTTGCACACTTTTTCAACCTGTCTAGCAAGGAAGAGATTTTTACTTCTTGTTGGAAGATTGCTCGCGTTCAGTCTACTGCCAGAAAGGGCAAGAAAAATCTTCCAAATAACAGTAAGCCAGTCGTTTTGCTATCGGTGATATCAAAAATCATGGAGAATATTTGAAAGGCGTCAACATCTTGAGCGATTATCAATATGACTTTCGGAAACAAAGATCAACAGGCGACCTTCTATCGTATATTACCCATATTTGGAATAACTTAATCGAGAAGCATGGAGAGTCAGGAGTTGCTACGCTTGATATTTCTGAGTCATTCGACCTTGTGTGGCATGAGGGTTTGCTGACCAAACTTCGATGCTAGGGCTTGTCGAATAACTTTTGTGTATGGCTCTCCAGACTCCTCTGAGAACGTTTCCTGCGAGTGGACGTCGATGGATATCTTTCCAATGCTTTTTCTACCAACGCTGGTGTTCCCCGGGGATCCATATTGGAATAAACGAAGAATCCAATGTATTGTTTTTTTGACAACAGCACACTTGTCTCGTTATTTCATTTGGATTCCAGGATGTCGGTTGCGGATGCACATCTCCACCGACAGCAGGATGTTGCATATCTTGATGAGGATCTAGAGGTGATTTTGAAATGTTTAATCCAATACTACAAAAACTCAGGCATCGGTTTTCTCCAAAAAGATGAATGTCTCCGAACTGGATATAATAATATCGAGACAGACAATTTTGCTTTCTGTTTGGATAAGTTTGTTGGGGGTTGAAATGGACACCGATATGTCTTGGCACAATCATGTCGCTGGAATTGCAAATGCCGCTTCTCAAAACACTGTTCCGAAACAGAAAAATGTACACACATCATGCTTTGTATGCTTTGATCAGACCTTCTTTGGAGTACTTTTCTCATGTATAGAGCCCCGCCCCTAAGCATACCCTGAAGCTGCTGGATTTCATTCAGATAAGAGTCATCCACCTGTTTGGGGACGTGAACATCACTTGCAACCTTGATAGTTTGGAACATCGAAGAAAGGTTGGGGATTTGTCTGTCTTCTATAGATTCTTTCATATGTAGTGTTCAAGTGACTCGGCTCATTCAATTCCACCAAGACCGATGCATATCAGAAATACGCGACGGACTGCAGCTGCTCATAATTTTGAGGTTCAACTTGGAGAACTGCCTTTATGTGGAATGAACTTCCTGAGAAGGTTTTCCCAAATGGATCTCCAGCGATTCAACTCCTACTTTTGCACAGGCACCATTTTTGAAGCGCCTTAAGGGTTTTTCTGTAGTGTTTGTGTTTTGTCCTAACGTCTCAGAGTTTTATGGAGCTATTGTATGTATTCAAGGCTGATACTCAAAGTATATATATTATTGAAAATCAGAACAAGCGTATTGAGAAGGCATAGTCTATTTTTGTTTTATTTCAATTCTTTTCTATTGATCTTGAATGCTTTCTTGAGATTTCGACTTAAATCTTGATATTAACATTTTTCTAGAATTCAGTCTAGAAAAGTTAAAATTTCGGTTCAACATTTGGGAGGTCAAGAGAGAAGCCGAATATAACTAAGCACGGGGGGTAGTCTCTTTAATGGTCGCGTAATAAGGAAGTTTCGATTGTTTATTTTTTCTCTATGGTATCATTCAGAAGAAGTAGCGCTCATAGCCAGTTTGAAGAGTTGCTGAATCAATATACGATGAATGTAGTTCAGTTTCATCAGTTTGCACATAAAAAACTATAGAAAGACCAGGAAATGTGTCGAAATTATTGAATTTAAATATTAAAAGCTTCAAAATATGTTAACTCCGTCGGTACAATCATTCACCATAATCAATTTGAGAGCTTATTTAATGACTTACGTGTCATCATCTGCTTTTATAAACCAATCAGCCTCATGGTAATAGTTTTTGTAAACATATTTCAATGCTTCCTTTGTTTTCAACCATGAGAACTTTCTACCTTCCCGTACTGATAGCCCAATCGCAGGTAGGTTTTTATCTAAAATAGTTATGAATCCTGAGATGTGAATACACATTTTACCGTCGACATTTTTTCACACTGTAATTTGAGGGGTAATAACTTAAGCCGTCACGACCGATTCCAAAATTGTTTATATTTTTGAAATCCTCGTTAGAAAAGGAGTTGAAAAGTAAATGGCTACAATTACCGATAACGGTCAAAAATCGGTCGTGGGAGCTAAAGGGAATTGAGTAATAAAAAAAATGTTTACTACACAATTCAATGCAATTCAAAATGCGAGTCAATGGGGCTCTTTCGATATAATTCTGACTGTGAAATGTATTTGTACTGATATTTTTTCAACCATGTAAGCTATAAAATTTGTGACATATCTGTTTCTGTAACTATGACTAATTTTCATTCGAATATAATGATCCTTGCACTTTCTGAAAGTGATTTCGGATTGGATTAAAATGACTGATAGATTCAAAATTACCTGCTTTTGAGCTCATAAACAACAAAATATTACAACGTTTTCCCCAGCTCGCTTTAACGTGAACCGCTATGCTTTCATGATTGTTGGGGCTAGTCATTACCATGCACAAAATTTTAACTTCTTTGTAGAGATTGTCTGCTATTTCAGTATTCATCATTCTATGAAAAGTATCATTTCTGTTATGATCACCAACTTCTCCTACTGGTCCGGAGACTTCTAGATATTCTTCTCCAAAGATTCTTGAGTAATTATGTCTGACAGTAGGTGTAATTAGGACAATATATGCTAGAGTAAAACCAATCGCCATTCCAGTCACCAGACAAAAATGCGCCTGATACTGCAACATTTAGTATCAAATGAGGAATGATATTGATTGATAAATTTTAAATATCTGTCAATTGAGTTCTCGAAGTGGAAGATAAGTAGTGGATTTATAACGTAAATAAACTATTTGTATGATTGAATCTTCAACTGATGTTCAATGACATGTACATTCCAGAGCTGTCAAACCTAAGGTATGGGAGAGCTGTCAAACTTACGGTTTGGCAGCTCTGTCAAACTTACGGTTTGGCAGCTCTGGAATGTACTTGCTAGTTCGGAAGATGGGCCCTTTCACTTACATCAGAGATTCTATTGTTGTAAATCATGCCTGAAAGAAAATAACGCCTGCAGCCATCAGTAGCCATAAACCAATTGAGACATAGCCACATAGCCATGTAGGGCCACACTAACGAGAAATGCCAATAATTATTGCAATAATGGACGTTAACCGTATGTGTAGCTACGACTTAACGCAATAATTTGACAACGGCAGTAACATTGCCGTTTGGCGTTAAGCGATAGCTCAAGTGGCGGTACATCAAAGAGATGAATGCGAGAATTAATGCGATAAAGCGGCCACACTACGTCAGTGTCAGTGTGCGTCGTGAGCGCGATGGTATCGCACGTGTTAGTGTTATAAATACGTACTATGGCTATGGAGTGAAGTAACGAGAAAGTAATTGCGTTTCTCGAGATTCTGCAAACAGAACCATGTTTGTGGGATCCAAAACTCAAAAGTTTCAAAAATCGTGGAACGCAAAGTGATGCTTGGCGACGAATAATGGAATTAGTACTTTTTTAAACAACTATTGAAGAAATAAAAGAAAAGAAGGAAAACCTGATGGGTTCTTATAGAACCCATTCAAACAAAAATAAAGAATCTTTGAAATCCGGAGCTGGCAAAGATGACGTGTACACCACTAATTGGTTTGCTTTCGAAACGATGGACAATTTCCTACGAGGAGTATATGAGGGTGGCCGCATATTTAATACGCAGGTAATAGTATTAGTCAGTCAACAGTAGCAAGTGGGTTTTTGGGTTTTATATAATATTCTTTTATTTTTCTTTCAGACACACAACGACATTGAGGATCTAGAAAGAAGTGAGGGAAGAAATAATGGAAACGAGACTACTGGAACAGAAAAAGCTTCGCAAACTATACAAGAAGAAAATGGAACTCGTCTAAAAGAAAATAAATCTAAAAATTATGGTAAAAAAAGACAAGTGTAATGAGTTGCCTCAAGAAATCAAAGCAGCGCGACGTCAAATGGATAAAGCTTTTGAATTGAAGAAAGATGATGAATATGAAATGTTCGGAAGACTGCTCGCAAGTAAACTAAAAAAATAAGAAATCCAAACACGCGTGATATATTAATCAATGATATTCACAATTCAGTATTTCGTGGATGTATGGCAGATCGACTTGAGCAGCAGTCTGCAGTACCTCAGTTTTCTACAACCCTGTCTCCACACCATCAAGGAATCAGCCCATCACCAAATCCTCTTACATACCAGTCGTCTCCAGGCCACTCCACATCTCTGTCTCCACACCATCAAGCATTCAGACCATCGCCAAATCCTCGAACATACCAGCCGCCTCCCCCTCACGATACAAATAGTCTACCTCCAGATCAGTTCTTATTTCAAATCTCCAAGAAAATTTCCTAGAATTACCACGGCCAACCCGTTCATCACAAATATTAATCACAAAGTCCGGTGAAATACAGATAATTTTACATATGTTTGCCAGTCCATGGTATGTTTGTATTTAACTGACAGCAACATAAAAACAACATAACAGCATAAAATAGACAGTTTAAGATGGTAATACTGGTCATTCTAAGATTTAAAACTTTAAGCTTATAAACATAGAAAGACTTACAGTGCACGATTCCTGTGCATTTGTATCATCCACCATTTGCTTTTTCTTTGTTTTCTTTTTTTTCTTCGTTCGGTAATGATTCAATAAATTCAAATAATAAAAATTTACGCTCATAAACTACAGAGCTAGCTCTGTCAACCTCCATCTTCCAAGTAAAATTAACGCCGTTTTTATCGCCACGTTGACCGTATTGAGTGTAGCCACCCACTTTAGCGCGTTAAAAATTACCGCGATAATAACCGCGATAATGGGCATTGACGTTAGCCACTAGTGTGGCTCCAGTTTAAGAGCGCGCGAATATTCAACGTTCGCTGTCATTGTAGGTGTAGCGAGAATAATGCTACCGACTTCGATGGAATTCCGAGGAATAGTTGAAATTTTATACCAGGTTTACACTCAGCCCAATTGGAAAGGAAAGTGTGAAGTGAAGTGGGCAGCGAGAATATAAACGGGTCCATCGCGCTATCACTGTTCATGCTGGTTCATGCTCTCCGCCATATTTGGGTCAAGATTCCCCACCTCGAATTTTATGCGCGGCCGAACTACAGCGCAACCGACTGAATCTGTGGCGTTTATTAGGTGAGTCGTTGTAAGCGGTGGCTTTGTATTTGTTAAAAATTTGTGTCTAATTCCAAAATGAGCAAGTGTAGAGCTGTGGGTTGCTGTAATTTGCAGGGTGATGTCGGCATTTATTTTTTTCGATTTCCAATTGATGAAAAAAAGTATGTTTTTCTATTATTCATTATGTTAGATTGAAATAATGAACATATAACGAAAATCATAAAATAAATTGTTATAGACCATATATAGTGGAGTGATTAAAAATCAATAACTTCAGTAATCAAGATAAGGANAGTGGAGTGATTAAAAATCAATAACTTCAATCAAGATGAGGATTGCAATATTTTTTTTTCAATGAAATGAGCATGAAGTCACACTCATTCTACAATATAGGAAAGGATTGAATAGTTGGTTTTAAGGAATTATTTGACAAGAAAATGGTTTCTATAGCAGAATATGCCTTGGTAGTCATGCCAAAAGGTATAAATTCGAACTGGAAACAGCTTGTTGTATCTTTTTCGCCTATACCATCAATACTGAATATAAAAAGTATCGTGATTGAAGCTGTTAGGCAATTATCAAAAATTGGATTGGGAATTAGGGGTATCATTTCAGATTCAGGTTCTAATTTTTATAAACTTGCCAGAAAAGATCTCGAAGTGACTGTAGAGTAGCCATATTTATTTGTTGATGAGAAAAAAATATTTTACTTTTTTGATACTCCTCATTTGCTGAAATGTAGCAGAAACAATTTTTTTATGACTTTTTGAAATTTGATGAATATACAATTAACAAAAGTCATCTTGAACAACTTTACAACTTGGATAAGGAAAAGCAATATAGACTAGCACCCAAACTTACTGATTCTCATTCATTTCCAACTAACTTTCAAAGGATGAAGTATAAATTAGCCACTCAAGTTTTCAATCATTTGGTAGCTACAGCGATGAATACGTATGCCAGTTTCAATCAAATACCATCAGCAGCAATAGGAACGGCTACATTCATTGGAAAAATGGATGAAGTGTTTGATATTTTATTTCAAAACAAATATGAGACATTTATTGGGAGCTTGGCGTAGCAATGATAAAGTCAGATCATGGTCACATATTTTTTGATCGAACCTCGTGCAGAGGTGCACAACAGCTCTTAGCCTTCACACTTCTGCCCCGCTAGATGCCAGCAAAATATAAAATCTCGACCCGAAACATCAAAGATACTGACCGGGAGTGAATTTACTTCTGTTTACTTATATACGGTGCCATTGCCAAGTGCTTTCTCGATTGTCGGTTTTTCTGAAGGAAGTAAAAGGACTGGCAGCGCGAATAGAAGTGTTTATATTCAGTCGTCTTGCTCGTTCAATTTTGTTGATGCAATAGCGTTTGTTTACATTTGGTAACCTGTTGTGATTTTTGTAAAATGCCAGCTTCTCCGCCGCCACCTTACTGAAATAATGAGAAAATAATGAAATTTTTGGAACTTTACGCAGTTGAGCGCGTGATATGGGATCCAGTGAATAAAAATCACAAGTTGAAACATAAAGTACACGATGCATGGAATCGCATTAGCAATAGTTTGGTGAATACTCCAATAGATGATTTGGAGTCAAAAAAGAAATCCCTTATGGCCACGTATCGCCCTTCATCAAAAAAGAAAAAAGCTTCATTTCGTTCTAGGGCAGGTGTCGATGATGTGTTCGAGCCAATATGGTTTCTTTCGAATTTATGGAGAGCTTTTTGCTATTTATGACGTTGAGGAGGCCATAAACACGAAAGACATGGTAAGTTCATTCATATATTATTCAACAAATATTTTTTACTATATTTAAATTTTGAAATTCGAATTTCACAAATAATTCTTGACGAGCGTCTTGCCGCATCAGGCATTGGCCTAATAGCTAAAATCTCTGGGTTGGTTTGTATTTGTCTCCAAGAGCCATCCACATGTACTCCATCAACTATGAAATTAAAAGTTCCAGGAGGAGTGTAAATGTATCGAGAAGATTCACTAATTCCTTAAAAGTTATGTAATGAAATACAGGTCATGGTTATGGGAGAGTGTGTATGAAAGAGCCAGTTTTGAAAAATATCAAAAAAAGTTATTCAAATCAAATTATGGTAAGATTTTGGTAAGTGGTAGAAAATCACATCGGCTCTTTCAAAGCCTGGCTCTTTCAAACACACTCTCCCATCTACTGGGACATTTTCGATGTAAATTTTGATTGGTTTTTTAAAAATTCGAAGAATAGTACTTAAAACACCAAAGACATTTTCAACGATGACACGAGAACTTGAAAGTTTGTAATTGAAAGAACGTTCCATTGTACCAATATTACGATTCACCTGGAAAAGGTTTCATTATATGTTTATGTGAAGCAAAAGCTCCGTCACCAAGAAATACATAAGGAACATCTGTTTCTCTTCCGGGTAATGGAGCATCTACTGGCAAATTAATAGTATTTGTGTCAATTTTTTTCCAAAGTAAAGAATTCTGAAAAATTCCATCATCACTAATGCGTCCCTGGCTGCCGATTTCAGCAAAAATAAAGCGGTAATCACTATCAACTGAAGCCATGAGTACAATGCTATGTGTACTCTTAAAGTTATATGTTGAACCACTGTGTGTTGGGCAAATTATTACAATGTGTTTCCCATCTAGAGATCCAACAAATCGTGGAAACTTATTTTTAAATCCCTGTTCTATTCGTTACCACTCCTCTAGTGTCTGTGGTAACTGAAACAAAGAAAATATCACAAACATAAATAAAATAAATGAACAAAACATTGATAAAATATTTTTTTCAGACTTTACACAGACAAGACATACGATCCCGATCATCAATGCCAATTCAGTCTCAACAGGCTGTCGTAATTCCACAGTCATCACCATCACAATTAGTCTCGTCACGACCACAAAACAAACAAATGAAAACTAATAAAAAAGCAAATCTCAACATACACACAATACCTACTCAGAACGGCCATCTCATCCGCCTACTCATCTGTCACTATGCAATCTCCAGAACCTCACTTTAAAGATATGCAACCATCGGTAGCAGATACTTCTGTTCCGGTAACAAATTATATGCCTGTGAACGAAATGGATATCATAAAAAAAGCATTCTGGGACGCTTCCCAAAGTAAAAATTTGTATTAGGTTATTTTTTTGTCTAATGATTATTGGAGTATTCTAAATTAGACATTGAATAAACATATTTTTTAATTAGATCCCTATTTTTATTACCTTAATTTGATTCACATGAACAGAGTTGATAGCCTTGCATACTTCAGAAACGATTTTTGAAATAGCTGGTGCGGAAACCTTGAATGAGTAGTGGAGACTTCGATAACTATCTCCGGTTGCTAAAAATCTTGAAGTTATTGCCAAACGTATTTTAGATGGTATAGGTAATCGTATTCTTGTTTGGTTTTTCTTTGGTTTTATTAAGCAAAAATTGGAAATCTCTAGGTGACATTCTGCAAAAGTTATAAAACTCTGCAGAATCCTCACAAGTCAACTCTTCGAAAAAATTATCCATAATGCTTCTGTAACAAATAAAAAAGTCATTATTCACAAACATCAACTTATAAAATAACATTATACAAAAGTTTACAAAAATTTGTACTACTTACGTCGTTCTATAACGATGAATTGATAACATACACCATCTCCTTATGCGCGGTATTTTTTTTTTTTGGATTCTCTTCAAAACACTCAAATAATCGTACATAATCATCAAACATAGAGCTGTCTCCGCAATAACTTTTATGACCGCCATTGCTGTCAGTAGAGAAGTAAAGGCTGAATGTAAACATACGCTCACGTCGACGCTTCCACAGAAGTATTTAGAGCAGGACTGTGGGTAGCGCGAGTAGTAGCGAAAGTGGCTGAGTATACACGTAACTTTAGTTGAAGTATTTGTTGTATCTAAAGTGAAATGAAATAGAGTTTCATTATTTTTCAGTGTCGTCAATCATTAGTCAACCCACGGGGAAAAACGAAACACTATTTTAAACACCTCAACGTCAGCACTACTGACAGAATAAATGACATTGTTCCCTGGATTTTCGCGATGACATCTCGACGGAGATCAGCAGCAAGTTGACTGCAGACGTCCGTTTTGACTTTTGTGAACGCCCGTCTACGTGTAGTACAGTATTTCTTATGGGCGGCTCGAGTTCGCTGAAACGCGACTGAAATTGTGTCGTCGATCCGATCGCAAAATGTGGCTCGTGTGGCGCTCTAACAGAGTACACTACCACATATAAAACAATAGGGGGCTTAAAACAGGACCTTTGTCACTGTTCGTAGTTCTCATGCCACATTTTGCTATCTTCAGACCTTCGAGAGTATCCAAAAGACTGGTGTTCAGAGCACGTTGAGCTGTTAACTCGATTTTTCTGGTCCCGACCTACACAATACTTTTCTGATCTTCGAAATCGGATATGTATTTAGTGTTTTTTGAAACAAGTATGAACAGCCTCTATAGTTTGACTAATACTTTTGTCACAATCCCAACAGCACATTCCATATATCCTTGACTATTCACATCTCTCGTATCTTGTCTTCAACATTTGTTGAAGTATTCAAGGAGTTTTGAGAACCACTTTCACTTTCACGTTAATCAGTCTCCTATCAAGGTTAATTCACAAGGTTAATTCCACCTTCTACTTTTTCAGTGCGGTCAGTGGACTCAGGTCATTCTTGCCCCCCAAATATGAGTTGCAGTCCTGGTAGTTCTGGTTCCCTTTCAGTGGAAGAGCTAGGACAACAAGAGGATTGTTCCGAATTCTTGGGGTTTATGTTGAATACTCTTCGTGACCAAAACAATAGCTCTGGATTGAATGATTCCGTACAGCCCGTCTCGTCTTGTGTTTGTAAATCTTTTGCTGGAAAAATCCTCACTTGTTTACTTTGTAGTAAATGTTCAAGAAGTAGCGAAAACTTATGTGAATTTCTGTAACTTCATCTAGCTTTTCCTGATATGACTGATAACCAGTCCGTGCAAAGCTTATTGTTAAATCATCTGGAAATGGAATTTTTAACAGGTGATAATCGACTGTATTGCCAAACATGCGCCAACCTAACTGACTGTTTTAAGGAAACAAGTATATCTGAGGCACCAGTCAATCTAATGATAACACTGATGATCTTCAAACACGACTAAACCTCTAACGGAAACAAGAAACTCTTTCGAAGGTTCGAAATAGATGAACATTTCAATCTAGCAGACCACTATTATAATATTCATGCAGTCGTTGTTCACTGTGGTTCTGGCGTTGAATTTGGTCATGTTGAGATGCCAGAAAGAAGTATAGAAATAAGAAAATAAAATTATACTAATACTTCTACTGCAATCAAAGTTGGCTTTTCATTAGAATGGATCAGTTGTAACCATACAAATATCAACCGTTTTGATAAAAATCTCTTTCGATGGTGAATACGTGTATTACTTTGTCTTGCAATATAACCTAAAATGAAGTAGTGCATATTTTTGTGGAAATCAGATACTTGTCCTGTGTAGAGTCAAAATTCCTCTAGTCTTTTGACCAGATTCATGAAAAAAGAAAATAGCTGTTTACGATATGAGTGTTGAAAGTGAGGTTATATTTTCAGAGTGAAAAAGTTTGCGAAACGAGCGTAGCGTACAAAGTTTTTTGTACAACTGTCCTGTTTTCACAATTGAATAGATACATTTAATATTTCTATAAAAAACATTTTGGCATCTCTTGTCAGTTAACTATTTTCATGTTATCGCATGGTGCTGTAGTTTTTGTACAACTGTCATTAAAAGTGATGGATGTCAAGAGTATCAAACGATGATGTTTACAAAGAAGTGTTTTAAAAGTATTTTTCTACACCCGTACTCTAACAATACACTTATATGACCATAATCCGTTTCATAATGATATCCATTATGATACAGATTTTTCATAACGATACAGATTATCAACCAATAGAAACCCATAATTTTTCAATCAAGAATCCTGTTCCTTTGTTTGTCCTAGATTCTAACCTAAGTAACTAATTGTTTTATTTGTCAAAATCAGTTTTCATATTACCTACCTATATTATCAAAATGTCTGAAAACAGTGATATAGAAGGAATACCATCGACTCCAATATTTTCAAAAGATCAGATTAATTACAGTTGTTATATTCAATATAAATATAATTAGAATCTTTATAGTTTTCATATATCCATGATAATACCATTAAGTTCGTGTTTTTTTAAAAAAATATGAGTTAATTACTGTAAATGTGTTCAATACAAATATAATATTTATAGTTTTTCATTATTTATCGGGTTTAGAAAAAATAGCGTATGCAACTCTCATGTAATGGTTATTAATACACTCGCATATACCATACAAAACTCGCCTTCGGCTCGTTTCGTATCCCGGTTAATGCTCGTGTCTTAATAACCATCATTACATGATCGTTGCATAATATACTATTTTAACACGACATAATTATTCAATTTTCAAGGAAGTTTTATTATCAACAATAGATATTGATACAATTGAATTCTGTTACAAATGTATTATATACATTAATTACATTATTATTATCATTCATCAACATTAATATGAAATGTACAATTAGAACAACTGCTGTTATTAATACCTCGCGATGGTGAAGAGCCTTGTAATATTTGAACTATCTAAGTTGACAATTTCATGGCATTAACATTTAATTCTTGAAGTGATGAGGACGATGCTGTATCGCGGGAGTTAGCTGTTGGGATTATTCTTTCAGCAATAGCCTCTTTATAAGATATAGATTGATCGATGTAACCCTCAGCAACTGTTGTAAACTTCCATCCTCCGTGCTTCTTAACATCCGTTATATTTGCTCCTGATTCTGCTAGCAAAGCAGCAGAAGACCTTCTGAAACAGTGACCTGATGTTCCTTTGGTTCCGGGAGGTTCAGAAACTCAGCAATGGTCTGAGGCATTTTCCCAAACGTGTTTATACGAACTGTGTTGGCACTGCATTTATAAAATTTGAGTATTTCAGGAGAAAAAATTGATGATTGATAACAGAAGGGCGCCGGCAGGCTCTATATATTCCGAAAATAGTGGTAACGTTTATCATGAAATATTTTTCATTTGGCGCCTCATTTTAAACCTCTGGACTTGTTCAAATGTAAGAGTTTTTAATTTTTTGGGCCTATAACTTTCATTTTTCCGCTTTAAGAATGCTATTACCTTGAAATATTTTCTTGTATTAACATCATTTTTAACTAGCGCACTGGACCTTATCATTGAAAACTTGCTCCACAAAGTTGACGAGTTCCATATTTTTGATTTCTCTTCTAGATAGGCTAAGAATATGGTTTCGCTGAAATTTTCTTCGGCTTTCTCAAGTCTACACCAGCTGAGAAAATTAGAATATGCGATGTCGTACTGCCGAGCCGATTTTTTGGCTCATTTTGCATCCTCCTTAATATCGTCAGGAACACACAATTCCTCACTATTGTTCTCCATTATGCAAGACATCAAACACCAGCAAGAACTTTAAATGTGACTTTAAATAAAACGCGAGAGCTGTTAACAATTCTGTTTGTTGGTAACCAAGTTCATCGGCGTCACCTGACACGGCCACTTCACGGCAAATGCGATAACATTAAAATAGTTAACTGACAAGAGATGTCCAAATGTGTTTTTATAGAAATGTTAAATTCATTTATTTTATTATGAAAACAGGACAATTGTACAAAAAAACTTTGTATGATATTTGTGTTGAAAGTAAGTTTTATTTTGTGAGTGAAAAAGTTTGCGAAACGAGCGTAGCGAGTTGAGCAATTTCACGAACCTTACCTTTAACACTCATATCATAAATAGCTATTTTGTAATTTCTCGCATTTTTAGTCTCAAGTTTTCTGCATATGTTCAAATAAGTACATCTTACTCGAGCTTTGATTTTCTGAATGTCAAACTGAATCCGAATTGCTAGTGACTAGTCATATATTGTACCGCAGTAATACATTCAGAAATAACATAGATTGGATTGACAAATTGAAAAATTATGTGAAAAAAGTAATACGGAAACTATTGAAACAATCTTATCGTACCTTGAGTTTTGCATATGAACGTTTTGTGATATCATTATTCACCATTACAAAAAAGACATTGGTTCATTCCTCGATAGTAGGCCAACTGAAATATTTTGCCAAGTATTCACTTAGGTATAGACATTATCACTTTTCAAATATTGTCGAATAGTTTAAATACTGAGCATTTCCAAAGTAATGTACTGGGTGAGATGAGTTAACTCCCATAAAATGAAGTGATGGTAAAACAATAGTTTTAAAATAAAATTGTTATTTGCATGATCAAAATTAATCAAATCAAAACCTTAATTTTGTATATGAATTGATGGAATGGCACGTTGAAATGTGAAATCTTGATCCTTAGCTCGCACAAATTCCGACTTTTTTTGACAGATGGTTTTTTTTGTCAGCGGCATCGACTACGTTGGTCATCAGCCTCGTGTTCTGAATAGGCAACGTTAAAAACCCCCCGAGCCACCGAGGGAGCATCATGACTATTCGCCGTCCGTCAGCTATGTAAAGTTGCAGAATCATCCAATCTTCAACTAGATAAATTTTCTCGAGAGAAATATCTGGTCGAAGTGTGGATCGAACTCACGACCGTTCAATCGTGAGTATGCGGCACTACCAATGCACCAAATCACAGATGTATTTGGTTCAATTGGAAATTCATTATATTTTTTAGAGTATGTAAATGAAATCTTGTATTGAAAAATATTTGTTCAATGTCAATTTGTTTTTCACTTTTCAGTTATTGTCGCTGTTAATTTCAGTTGAAGCATTATTATTGCATGATCAATCCCTACAATATTCATGCGAGCAACACCAAATGTGTTTAAACTCACAGTGATCACCATGAAATATTCAGATTTTTTGAATCAGCATCATTACTTTCACATCCAAAAAAAACTAAACTCTAAGATATCGAGCTCTACCTTCTCAACTCTACGAGAGACTTCTCACTTCTTCAAAATTCCTTCTTCATCTTCTCTCCTTACCTATCTTCATGATACTAGTGACCAAAGATGGCTATGCTAGGAAAAACACTTGCCAATATCGGTTACATGGAATTCATAGATGTCACATTTTATCGTGTTATGAATACAATGAAGTGACGGTAACGAATATATCGTTACAATGGAGTTGAGGTTATTACCGCTTTTTTCGATATATTTTCCTTTGTTTGTTCATTTGAACTGCAGGTATTGGCAATATATCTTTAGGTGAAGCATTTTCGAAACAAGAAGTTAAATAACGCAGACGGCTCGTATGGGAGAACGAATTTTCATGGAACTTCCTTGCACTTCAAATAATTGTGAACAATCTTGTTGTGGGGAATCAGCATTGGATAGTTGAACTGGCATAAGTTGATTTTCGGAAAGAACAGGTGGAAGAAGATCTTTTTAAATCGATTGAGTTTCAGGTGTACGAGTTGCTGACTTTGAAGAGGGAAGGTTTGCAGAACTTGACGGGGATAGTATTTCAGGTGTAGTATGAGGCTCTATCTCCATGAACTGAACGTTGACAACGCTTGACGGGGTTGGTACTTCATGGCCTGGATGAGGTACTGACTCAGTTGATGGAAGATTACCAGAATGTAATAAAGATGGTGACTCAAGTCCGGTATGAGGCTCTGTCTCCGTCGAATGAGAGTTGACAACGCTTGACGTGGTTGATTCTTCACGTCCAGGAAGAGGATCTATGTGTGCATTGCTCTCTATTAACGGTAGGTTGATAGACCTTGACGTATCTGCATTGTCATGAACTAATGGTATGTTTGTAGTTTCAGCATCTATGAAATCAACATCACTAAAATTGTCTTGGTTGTATGGCCATAAACCACACTTCTTGAAGCTGTTAACCGCTGTGTTAAGCATGTGTATGTAAGCTTGCCCAAATATTTCACTTATTTCGAACATGATGATCACACGTCCTGGATGCGATCTCAACCAATTTGAAACGGCATGGTCATAGTAAGTACTTGAAGTCCTCATGAAAGCTACATCAGCAGGTTGCAACTTATGTGTGCAATGAGGAGGGAAGCAAATTATTACAACTCCATGTTTTCGTGCAAGATCTATAACATCTAGATTTTGAGTATGGCTCACATGTCCGTCTGAAAGCAGCAACACTTTATTGCTAGGAGAGGCTCCTGAAAATTGGATGAACTGTTTGAACCAAATGTGTCTGTATCCTGATTCTTTGTCTACAGCTGCGTTTATGGACTGTTGTGACCACTCTCTTCTTTCAGTCTTTTTTTTTTGTAGTTCATAACAATGTTTAATCTGGAAAACAAAAAAATATATTTCGATCGATATATCTATAAACAATAACAAATAAAGCAAATTTTATGGAAGTAACCTGATTTCGTAATATGACGGGCATGATGGGGTAATACTCCATTATGCTCCGTACGATTTACACTATCTTGCCCAGTCACTGTGTTTAAATAAAATATTTTTTTTAAATACACGGTTAGGTCTAATACGATTTTGAATACGTCTATCAACTGGCAGAAAAATGTTAAACAAAGGAAAAATTAATCATCAGTTCAACGCTATTTCATACTTGTTTATGAAGTTGGTAAAAAACACAAAATATTACATCAATTATGCACTTTTACAATTATTTGATTGTAAACAAAGGACGCACGCACTTTCACCGATTGTCATGGTCGCACTAAGTATTGTTCGAAAGCGGCTTTTGATTGGCTAAAGCGCCACCTCGCAAAAGCGTTTAGTTTTTGGTATGTGTGCGTGACCCCGTCTTACCTCGATACCCCATCATGCCCCTAGTTCCCCTAGNATTTCACATTGATGATTATTATCGTCCATTCTCTGTTTTGTGAAATTTTCAAAGCTATTTGAATTAGTCATATATAATCGCATTATCCCGCAGTTAGAGAGGCGATAATTACGAATCTCAAGATGGTTTAATGAGTCTTCGGACTCTAATCTTCTTGTAATGGTATGGTTGAAATGTAATCCAATATTCGAATGGATTCGAATGGATTTGATCCAGGTTGATTCCTCAAAAGATATTGATATGACAGTTGAAAAATTGTGCCGATTCATTCAGTGATATCATTTTATTCTTTTATTCATAGATTAAATTAGATTTAGGTTAGACTTTATTTCCTACTCGATACATGATTGCTGCATTAATAGTAAAAAAGGGTTATTCACAGTAAACAACATAGAAGTACATAAAAAAAATCGTTTAAAAATGCAATATTTCATTTACATTAGAATGGGAGGTGAATAAACACGAAAAAAAAACACAGAAGTAGCTGTTAAAGCTACTTTTATATGTGTATATAAAGGCAGTAACAAAGTTTGATATAACAGTAAAATATGAAGTCGAAATCATGATTATGGTGAAATCTGGAGTATGACATAATCTACAAAAGAAAATCTAACACCTAATTATTTTTGTATAAAAACAAACATAATATTATTAATCACATTCTAATTCTAAGGTATTCTTTTGAATCAGTTATACTTCACACAATCTGGTTAATTTTACATTTTCAGGGTAACGTCGTTTAATACTGGATAACACGATGTATAGACCAAAGATACCAATCGCTCAAGGCTTGCGGAAAGAGAAAAAAGTTGACTGAAGTGTGAGTTTCATTATGAAAAATCTAGATTGAAATCCACTCTAAAAATGCATCAATGTTATAAAACACATGATGCTGCATCAAGTATTTCAGATCAAATTTGAATTTGTTCAATGGAAGTTGTTTCATTTCATTAGGTAGATGATTATGAAATTTGATTCTTGTATAAAGAGGTTCATTGTGGATGCGATTATTGTTTGGTGAAGTTTATGACTGATTTCTTATAGTCTAGCGGCAAAACAATAACATATTTTTTCAGGTTTTTTGCAGCAAACTTTTGACGTTCATCACACAATCTTAATTTATAGGCTGAAAATGGCCTTTCGACATCAACTGACGTTACCAAACTTGAAATTTGGCGCTATTTCTGCATAGACCTCTTTAGACGGGGTATGTCCGGTGCCGTTTATAAATGCGTCAATTTTCTTTATTCGTTTAAGACCGGGTTTTTTTATATAAAACTGCATTTAATTTGCCATGAACCTTGCGATAGTGAACTCGAAAGGGCGTTACTCTGTTCAATCATTTTTTCTAATATTTCCAAAAGCTTGCACGGTTTCTCGATTGCATCGGGTATATTGCTGAAATGTGTTGCAATAAGAGCAATATATTTTTTTGTATTGAAGGATCCTCAGAAGCCAGCTGGCTTGAATTGATTGCAATGGCGTCTGATCTGTAAACTACTCCTTTTATGGGTTCGAAATTCTTAACAAAAAACAACCAAGTTCCCTATCTTGGTATTGGTTTTGGGGGTAGTTCTACGCTTGGTAGTTGCTCTTTATATACTTGTACTCGCGATGATGCTTCCACAAACACCTTTTTTGTAAAATAAATCAATTTATTGACTTTCCCGAACTCGTTTCTGATCTTTTCCGCAACTCGATGTAATCCGTGGGCTAGACAGGTGATGTGAAGCAATTTTGGGTAGAATACTTTCAGAGGTTGACCAGATTACCAGTTTTGACCATACAAGGCGCACCGTTAGAAAAAAAACACATATTTTCTCGTCCATAGAAAAATCGAGAAATAGCAATCTGATGAAATCAGATTATGAACCAGGCGATAGTTGAACGGCTTGTTTTTCCAAGAACCTTGCAAGCAACCAAATGGGGTGTAGAGCGATCTTTAGATGATTTTCCAACATAGATTCGCTATATATCGTTCACATGAACCTGTCGTTTCATTAGCTGCTTCCATCTTAGATCGCTCGAGATATTAGCGTGTATTTCACTAAATACTTCTTCTTAGGAAAAAATTATTCGACGTTTTCAAACAATTCCTTGGCATACAACCACAAGTTTCCGAATCTAAACGATACGGAAATTCTGCACTATGCAAGGAAGGGTTGCAAACTCAATTATTTAGAATCCTTGGAAATTCACAAGCATAAACATTGCGGGTGCAACCTGTTAAATGACCAAATCGATTTAATTTACTCTCCGGTTTTTAAATTGGCACATGCGCATTGTGAACTGTAAATTCAGGTACTCAATCAATCAAGTACCTGAATGGTATATATTAGCGAATGTAATGAATCATTCTTAGTTTATTGTTTAAGTTTAAAATGTTTATATAGGACGAAACTGCAGTAACGTTAGTTACAAATAAAAACATAGAAATTTTCATTTCTCTTTTCATCATGGCTATCTGTTTTTATACCACTACGTGGTAGGAGATCATAATGAAAAAAGAAATGAAATTTTTTATGTTTTTTAACACTTTCATTTGTAACTAACATTACTGCAGTTTCGTCCTATATGGACATTCTCAAACTTATACAATAAACTTTTCTATTTATATTTTAGGTATATTAAGAAAAGAGCAAAATCGTGGACTGTTCAAACCAAGTATTATATTTGTTGATTGAACAAAAAAATATGAAAAATTCAATTGAAATGCCCTATTTTTTTGCACAGAAAAGGGCTCTAAATAAACAACATATTAATGTCAATATTTGTCATGCCTTGNCAAAAAGAATTTTGTATAGCTCCCAGGTCCCATGGGGTCTGTGAATCTGCACATAATTTTTTCTCCTCAAGAAAAATATACTATTCATACCAGAAACGACTTCAATACTATGCGATTAAAAATGATCATTTCAATGTTCGAAATCAGATATTATCCTTGTGAAAGCAAAGAGCTTATTTCTGAAATAGAACTTAAGTGAAATGACATATATTAGGAGTATGAAAACATAAATATTTCGATTTTTATTTTGCACCTCTCCCAAGTACCTACACCGTAGGTTTTGGTAAATGCCTACCGGAAAACAGCTATTACCACGTCGAATATTGAATTACATCCGACAGACATTTATGCTCAGAGGTTAGTCTTGCAGATGTTTCTCGTTCGTCCAGGACCGATCTGAAATTATTCGAGTATATCACCTACAGACCGGTTTCGATGCGTTACCTCTCATCAGTGTAGGAAAGATTCGACCCAAACTGCAAAGTGTTTGGGGCCCGATTAATTTCAACGCGGCTCGACTACATGTATGAAACGTTCGTCTAAAAGAAAGATTGTTAACTAGTGACAGCTCCATCTCGTGAACAAAACCCCAAGCAGGGAAGAAACATCCCATGTACCAATACTCTAACAGAGATCAAAACGTTTCTGAAGACTTCATCAAGTAGATATATGGTAAATGCTAGCAGAAACTACTGTGTGGGTAATTGGGAGAGATGAATATTTTAAGATTTTATTTTGAAGTATTTGCAGTTTGCAGACACGGTTTTTTCCCTATTAGAAATCTAATGAATGGATAAAGTTTGACTGGCTCATTCAGATGTTTCTTTTGTAGCGAAACATTCACTANCCTGCACCCCCACTCATATAACCTTGTTTGACGTATGGCTTGAATTTAGCTCCAAAGTAAATGGGCCTCTGTGGATCAATACCAAGCAGCATGTACCTCAAATTTTCCAAAATGACGTACCTGAAAAGTTAATAATGTAGCAGTTGAAACCTCGATAACAGATAATCAAATTAAAAAAAAATGAAATATGTAAAACAGTACTTCCATAAATTAAAGGTAAGAAGAATATAAATATTCATTGTCATGTCAGTTTATATACTGGTCTTTTATTTAAATAATTAACATACATCAACACTGGAAATATAAGTATCATATACGTTCTTTACTAGGGTACTCCTGTCATGCTCATAGAAAGGACAGCAAACATATCGATAAGATAATAATAGTTATGTAATGTCCACCATTTCAGACAGTTTTATTTATACTATGGCCGTTCCCCAACGCGTGTTGAGAAACACATGATTTTTTTTGTTTTCGAAAACGGATATGTTCTACACGTTCTCTGAACCGAGTATTAATGGATCGCTTAGTCTGACAGTCCTCACAGGTTATATCATATTTCTTCGACTTTTTATTCTTCATCTTGTTTTTAGAGTTATCTAACATTTGTTGTAGTGATCAAGAAGTTTTGGTAGCTACTTTCATGTCCAAGTTTTTGAAAATACGCTGTAATTCTTTAGTTTATTATGGTTCATTCGAAAGGACAATGAACTATGATTTTTTTGAAGGTGGTTGACAATGTTTTGTGGTGCATTTTATCAGTTCGGACTTCCATTGTCTAAAGCTTATCGCTCACTTGTCCGGCACAGCACAGCACGGCGCTGTCCGTCGCCTGATGGCGACGGGTAGTAGCATCGCCCAGTGTGCAGCGACAACCAGCATACTGAAGGTGCCGTTTGTTCGATTTCAAGGGAAATAGCCACAAAAAAAATGTTGTCGGTCCATCCCATTTATCAAAAGATGGCAAATCTGGTATAGTTTTATCATCTTTCAACGATCTGAAAGAAGAAGAGGAGAAATTTTTCCAGTATTCCGATCGTTCCAATCCTATCCGTATTTTGACGGGACGTGCCGTGCTGTGCTGTGCTGGACAAGTGAGTGATAAGCTTAATATGATATAAATTGATTTGAAATCCCTGAAAGAATCTATAAACGAATTGTCATTTTAAGAAGAATTGTGAAGATGATCAACACTATATGAGAAACATCTGTATACCGAAAACCCACTCACATGAGACAGTATCTGAACCAGGATTCCAACCACATTCAATCGACTAAGAGAGGAATTATCAAGACTAACTGACTGTGTTTTCGGTCTTTGAAATACGAAGGGAGGTCTGGAGAAGGAACTAGGCATCATGAAAAATGACCTTCAACGGAATGGTTACTCCAAAGTGATGGTGGAGCAGACTTTGGCTGGAAGACAGCAAGAGCCTCATAACGAAGAGAAGCCGCCACAACCAGTACTTCCCTACATCAGAGGGTTGTCAGAAAGGAAGAAGAATTGAGTCCAAGTATAACATCAGGACCTGCTTCAGATCTGAGAACACTATCCGTAGCAGTCTCACGAAAACCAGGCCACCAAACGTGGATACCCTATGTGATATCCTATGTGTGTGGAAAATCATACATCGGTGAAACTGAGAGGCCATTGAAAGTTCGCATTGCCGAGCACAAGAAACACACACAGCGAGGAGAAACCAGCAAATTAGGAATAGCAGAGCATATTTGGACTCATCAAAATAACATCAAGTGGTCTCAAGCTGAAATCATCCACAAAGAGAAACACTGGTTTAGGAGGGAATTCAAAGAAGCCGCATGTATGTTGTCCAACAACGCATTTAGCCAAGCGAGCGTAAACATACGCAACATATGGAAACCTATAATCAAGCGGAACACGACCAACTCCCGCCAAACGGTCAGCTTCCGCTAATAACGATAAAGCGGTGAGAGGGAAGAGGGGTTAGGTAAAAGCACTCAAATGACCTATAAATAGTCAGATTTCGAAGGAATAAGTCTATTTATCAACCGAAGACGAATGTGGATACTAACAATCGAAACGTCGTGGAGTAACATGGCATCTTTTAATTTTTGATTTTCATTTCTTGTTATAATAATTTTTAATTTTCATACCACGATAATAGGTAATTTTTTTGATTTTTTGATTGTTGCTTGCATTTTATTCCATTGTAATTTCAGATTTTTTGCTTAGTATAATTGTTATTTTTTCAGCTAATCTTTTTNAGATGGTTTAATGAGTCTTCGGACTCTAATCTTCTTGTAATGGTATGGTTGAAATGTAATCCAATATTCAAATGGATTTGATCTATGTTGATTCCTCAAAAGATATTGATATGACAGTTGAAAAAATTGTGCCGATTCATTCAGTGATATCATTTTATTCTTTTATTCATAGATCAAATTAGATTTAGCTTAGACTTTATTTCCTACTCGATACATGATTGCTGCATTAATAGTAAAAAAGGGTTATTCACAGTAAACAACATAGAAGTACATAAAAAAAATCGTTTAAAAATGCAATATTTCATTTACATTAGAATGGGAGGTGAATAAACACGAAAAAAAAACACAGAAGTAGCTGTTAAAGCTACTTTTATATGTGTATATGAAGGCAGTAACAAAGTTTGATATAACAGTAAAATATGAAGTCGAAATCATGATTATGGTGAAATCTGGAGTATGACATAAACTACAAAAGAAAATCTAACACCTAATTATGTTTATATCAAAACAAACATAATATTATTAATCACATTCTAATTCTAAGGTATTCTCTTAAATCAGTTATACTTCACACAATCTGCTTAATTTTACATTTTCAGGGTAACGTCGTTTAATACTGGATAACACGATGTGTAGACCAAAGATACCAATCGCTCAAGGCTTGCGGAAAGAGAAAAAAGTTGACTGAAGTGTGAGTTTCATTATGAAAAATCTAGATTGAAATCCACTCTAAAAATGCATCAATGTTATAAAACACATGATGCTGCATCAAGTATTTCAGATCAAATTTGAATTTGTTCAATGGAAGTTGTTTCATTTCATTAGGTAGATGATTATGAAATTTGATTCTTGTATAAAGAGGTTCATTGTGGATGCGATTATTGTTTGGTGAAGTTTATGACTGATTTCTTATAGGATTATAGGGTCCTGACGTCTGGATCTGGAAGTCTGTAGGTCATCCCTGCTATTATGGAAATGATAATGATATTTCGTGAATGGTGAGTGTAAGTATCTTATGTACTATGTACTCTGAAATATTTCCTGCCAAACATTCTGTAACTGAGACCAAACGATGTGCGAATAGCTGCACCCTGTGCTGTGTGTGAGAAGGATATGAGAAATTATCTCTAGTGTGTCACTTTTTTTGGGTTTGAAGGCCGTCGATTTTTGGAATTTCTTCCAGACGTTTCACTAGCTTCTTTAGAGATTATCTCCGTTGATAATTTTTTGACACTCTAGATATTGTGGAGACACTTGCGACTAGTTCCTCTTTCTGTAATTGAAACAGTGCCTTGATGAACAACAGTTTATTTATGTGTTGAAATATGCGAAATAATTTCATTTTGAGTTTCCGCAGGCACTTTGACTTCATTTTCTTTACTGTGGTCTTTCAAAATTTCAGAGAGTTTAGGTGGTAGTTTGGGATCATAAGCAATTCCAAATGGACGGAGGTGGTACAAAAGATATTCCATTGTATACATCATATCTGGTGACATATAATGAAATGATACTGCATTGTCAGAGCAGCATTCCATACCCTGGAAAAGATAAGAAATGATTTATTTTTCCATCTCATCAAAAAATCATTCAAACAGTAAAAAAATAATCATTCTCTTCATAAATTAAAATTACAATCATATTAATTTAATGTCATCACTAGACATCAGATTACATGCACTATCAAAATGTAGAAAAATCCATGCAAATATGCACTGAAAAAGGGCAAAATATGCACAATAAAAAAACCATATACTTTACAAATTTATGTTAATTTCAACATTATATTCATATGTTATACATATATTTATATTAGTTACAAATATGAATTATTAATTTCACAAACTACACCTAAACGATTTGATCGTTTAGGTGTAGTTTG